AATGGATGGTAATGCGGTTTCCATGAAGCAAATTCTTTTCAAATTTTTCTACAACTCCATTCTAGATTTCACAACTTTTGAATTTGGCTCCCAATGGGAGACCCAAGTATGTACTAGGGAGCGTCCCTATTTTACACCCCATGATTCCTGCCAACTCATCAATGTTAGTCACTCTATTGACCGGGTAACGGTAAATAATGCTTTTCATCATGTTGATATGCAACCCTGATAAGGCTTCAAAAGGCAGTAGTGTAAGGTTTAGAAATTGTATCTGTGATTTTTCAGCCTCGCAAAATAACAATGTATCGTCAGCATACAACAGGTGTGAGATTGTGATTGTGTTTCCTGCATTTGTGCCAACATTGAAACCCTATACTGAAACCGTGAATCCATTGCATTTGTCTTGCCTTTTTCCAACATTTGACTAAAACTCTTCAAGGCTAATATAAACAAAAAAAGGGAAAGTAGATCCCCTTGTTTGATCCCTTTCTGTGGGGAGAAGAAACCCACAGGACCTCTGTTGATTAGAACTGAATATTTGACTGTAGAGAAGTTGTATTTAATCCATTTTAACCATTTATCACCAAACCCCATTCTTCTCAGAATTGATATCAAATAAGACCAGTTTAATTGATTAAATGTCTTCTCTATATCTAGCTTGCACATTACACCAGGTTCCCCATTTTTAATCCTGCAGCCCAAGACCTCATTAGCAATAAGAGTTGCATGAGTTATATGTTGTTGCTTAATAAAGGCATTCTTATGAATAGAAACCAACTTTCCAATTACCTTCTTCAATCGTTCTGCTAATAGCTTGGCAACAATTTTGTAAACACGGCCAATAAGACTAATTGGCCTGTAATCCCTCAACTCAATAGCATCCTTCTTGTTAGATATCAAGGCAATAATGAAAGAAGCATTACATGCTCTCACAATGTAGTTGTGCTGATGGAAGTGATTGAGAGCAACCATGATATCAGGTTTGATCTTTTTGAAAGAAAGCCATAGTGAAACCATCTGGTCCTGGGGCTTTGACAGGAGCACATGATTAGATGATGGCATGCACTTCTTCCACAAATTCTCTTTCTAACATCTCCCTTTCGTCCACTGAGAGTCTAGCTACATCCTCAAAACTGACCGTTGATCTCCACCCTTCATTCTCTTTATGAAGATTCAGATAGTACTTTAGGATCTCCTCCCTGATCACTTCTTTCTCATCTGTGATGTCGTTGCCAATTTTGAGCTTGTCAATTGAATTATATCTCCTGTGGGAATTGGCTTATGACCAAAAGTATTTTGTTTTCCTGTCCCCTTCCTTTAACCACAAGCATCGTCATTTGTCTCCATGAAGTTTCTTCAGCTTTAGCAATTTCCTCCAACTCTATTTTCAGATTCAGGAACCTTTGCTTTTCGAAATGATTTGGAATTCTAGTTTCTGTTGCATGCTCTAATGTTGCAAGTTCATCTAGAGCCCTGTGTCTCCTTGTATCAAGCATACCATACACTTCTTTGTTCCGAGGTCCTTTTTCAAGTTTCTCAACTTCTGTATGAACACAAAGTCTGCACTGCCACCAATAGCATAATTCTGCCACCATCCTTTGATCATATCAAATCAATGAACCCCTCTTTTTGTAGCCATATATTCTCAAATTTAAAATAGGATGGTGTTGAGCCCCAAACACCACTTTCAAGCAACAAAGGTTTATGATCCGATATGACTTTTGGTAAAGCCAGTTGTTTGATTGCTTTAAAACATTCATTCCACTCTGCAGAGACAAGGAACCTATCAATTTTTGAGGCTTGTAAAGTGTCCTCCCCTCTTGACCAAGTATATTGTGCCCCTTGTAAAGGTAAATCCATTAGCCGAAGGTCTTCAATAATTTCTGAAAAGTTCCTCATAGCTTACCCCACTTGTGGGATTATACTGGGTGGTTGTTGTTATTGTTGTTGTTGTTGTTCCTCATAGCGTTGGTCCTTCTAGTGCAGTTTAGCCTCTCTGATTCATATATGCGCATTGAAGTCCCTTCCGACCACCTATTGATCACTCCAAATTCCTCTTATAAACCTAATTCTTGCCAGAAGCCCTTCCTTTCTGCATTAGAATGAGGGACATAGACTCCTGTAAAACCCCACCTGAAGTCCTTCTGTAAACTTTCAAGGAAGCAAGTGATTGTGTAGTAAACCTGATGAGAGTCAATACGTCTCCAGACTCTCTTATCCCATACAATGATAATACCCCCTCTAGCGTCACTAACCTTCAATTCTACCCAATCAGCCCACCTATTCCCCCAAATCTGATAAATTAAACTAGATGGTAAGTTGTCCATTTTTGTTTCTTGGAGACACAAAATGTCAGCTTTCTGTTTCCTAACAAATGAAGTGATAGTACTCCTTTTACTCTATCATTGAGACCCCTAATGTTCCAGCTAAGAATTTTCACTCTCATCTGAATATAATTTTTCCGTGCCGGCCCTTATCCCTTCTATTCCTCCTATCATAATTGATGCCAGATATCAAGTTTTGAACCTCATTCTCCCTTTTTTTCTTCCCTTTCCCCTTCCAGCTAGATGAAGAATGTGAATCCCAATGTTGTAATTGAACCTGCTTCTTCTAGTCCATTCTCATGATTAGGTCAAAAATTCCATGTTCGAACCTTGCTATATTGATCCCAAAAGCCTTGCATGCTTTCCCCATAACTAACTTTGTCCACTTCGAGGATTCAACTGTAGTGGGTTGTTGAATACCCTGCTGGATTCCTTGCAATTCCAGTTGTTCTCCTTCGTGCCAAGATAGAGGAAGAGATTCGCTAAAAATCGGTGTCTGAGCACACAATTGTTGTTAAAGCCATATCAGACCAACATAAACAATGGGAGAGACCCTTGAGATTGTTGATAAAAGATTATGCATCATAATCGGTCTCATCATCAGCTTCCGAGTGCGTATCCAAGTTTTCAGCATGAGGAGTTGTTTCAGAGATTGTTATTGTGTTTTGGGTCTGTTGAGAAATAGTTGTAGAAGAAGGTTTTACCACGCAGTTGTTTACCGAGGTCTGGCAAGAGCCCTTTAGCATTCCACTTCTGAATAAATGTGGGCTTAGTTGCCTTAGACTTGGAATGGGCCTTCTTTTTTGGGGCTTTGTAATAATTAACATTTTGGGCTGCCCCAAGATCTTTAATAATTCCCATCAATATCGTAAGCCTCTACTTTGGCTATAATTTCCATCAAGCTTTCAATCTCCCGGTCTTGAGTCGCTCTTCTAAAGTGCACATCCCAGGTATTGCTAGTTCTGTTTTGAGCAATTGAGGAGTTCTTGTCCAGAGCAAAGTGGAGTAAATTAGGACTATCCCCCATTTTAAAATTATGGCCTAGGACTTGTTCCCCCCACCCCCACACACACACAACTTGGTGCTAAGTGGGAATGTAAAATCCCACCAAAGCAACCTCAATATTTTATTAGAGTCCTTTTACTTCTGGGACAGAGATTGCCCGTACCGTTCTTTTTCTTTTGTAACTCCATTTTACCCAGTTTTGTATTGACTTATCATCTAAAGAAAAACAAGGCCATACCCCAGTCCCACCTTGAGTCCAATGAGCCAAACCTAAGATAAGATATCCAACAACTTTCGATAAGAAAAAAAGATAAATATCCAACAATTCCTTCACCGAGAATATAATCAGCCCGTTAGTATAGTATCTCGCTACTATTTATCAACCAAAAAAGCATAGTATCTCACTACTAAAAATAGTAAAATACTACCTAATTGCCATCTGTCAACTAAAAGATCCTAAAGTTTACTCTGATTTTGCTGCACAACATAATAGAATAGAAACAAAATGAGAAGTGGAAACAGAAGCAATGGTATTATGCAATCCATTTATCACTATACTATACTATATATTAAGGTTATTATTGAGATTTTAAAGTATTTTTTCTTTTGCTTTCCCACACCAAAAGGCTAGCGGGACATCCAAATCCAATTAAACGAAAACAAGAATAACATGGACACTTGCAACAATAACATGGGTGAGATGTAACCAGATGGTACTACAAAGAAATAGCAACTTTTAAGATAAATACAACAAGCAGAACAGCAAAAGAGCAATATCTACAGCTCAACTTCCCATTTTCCCCTCCCCCGACAAAAGAAATTGACATAAGAACGCATAATTTACATTAAGAGGCCATAAAATTGGGTTGCAAAAGATAAGGACATAATATAGACATCTCTTCTAACTTCTGATAACACCTCAGCTATCTTCTTATCACTCTGACAACCGTGGTCAAATCCAAGTAGTAGATCAATTCTTTTTTTTAAGGACATACTTCGGTTCATGTTAGGAATCAAATCCGATAAATTTGAAGAACTTCTACCACAGCTCAACTAGGATTAGACATATCTACCTATTTTGAGGCCAAAGATTCATACTAAAACTGCTAGTTATAACCATACATTGCTCAAGGAAGAATATATTTGAGGTAAAGACAGCTTCTTAATGTATAACTACAGAAATCAGGAGGATAAAGATATACAGAAACTGGTAGGCTATAAGTATGGAAATCACAATGATAAAGATATAAACAAATATGGAAACTTCACCTGTTTTCACTGGACGCCAAGTGATCAAGGAATTCATTTAGTTCCTTAATTGTTAGCCCAGCAGAGGCCATTCCCTGTCTACGTTGGAGGACCTATTCACAAGTGGCATTTTAATGTGGCTACTTATCCATATATATGTCACAACTTTTAGCATTCTGAAGAAGAAAAAGTAAACCAAGAACATTTGCAACATAACGATCTGAGGGGAAAAAATAATAAAGTTGTATTATCACCATAGTGATAATGTAATAACAAGTGCAACAATAATTTCGATAAAAAAATAACAATAACAACACGGTTGCTAATGGATCTTACAAAAAGAAGTTGTAATAACAGCAAAAAAAACTCATGAAAAGGTAAGTGCTTATAATGTGTTAATTAGTATTTGTTTCCTGTTATTTTAGCTTGTTCTTGAGTATTAATAGGATGCTTCAGAAGTCATTTAGGTCTCATTTTTTTGCACTTAATCATTCAAATCTTAGTTATTAAGTGTTTGTTTTTTAGGTCGAAATCTTAATCATTCAAATCTCTATCATTAAGTGCATATGTTTTTTCCTCTTGCAACTACTTAATGCATCTAAATAAATTTGAATGATAAAGACTTATAACAAAGTCTTAATATTATTAAGATGCTATTGGTTCGAATTTTTGCAAATAAGGCATTTCACCACTATTCCATCCATTTACACTGCTACTCACCGCCATTGTTGCCCGTCACTTTCAACTACCACCGCCAATCTCAACCACAACCACTACCACCACCAATCGCCGCAGTCAGCTGTCAGCGCCACTGGCCACCGTCAATAATCATCACAACCAACCATCAATATCACAACCACCATCAATCACCGCTATTATTCGTCACCAATCATCTATCACCATCATCCACCATAATTATCAATTGCCCTCACCAACTACCACCACCAACCACTACTGTCAGCTACCATCACCACTAGCTACTAATCATAACCACCATCGCACGGACCACCGTATAAATTTTAATTTTTGTAATATTTAGCTGATATAGTATTAGATTAATTAGAATTTTATTTGAATTTTAAACTTATTAATTTTGAAGAAAGACAAACTTCTGACATTCAGATGCAGTCTTAATTATTTAATATTCAGACCTTAATATAACATCTTAATATTTAAATTTGTATTCAGATTCAGACGTCTAAATAATAATAAACATCTAAATATTCAAATGCCTATTCAAATTCAATTGTCTTAATCTTAATAAAAATAAATGGGGTCTTAGTTCTTATTTGCTGGCCCGGCAGAGGTCATTCCATGTTTGTGCTTGAGGACCTATTCACAAGTGGCAATTATAAATGTGTACTTATCTATGCGTATATTACATCTTGCAGTTTTCTTAAGAAGAGAAAAGGTTAACCAGAAACATCAACAACATGACAAACTCAGGGGAAAACATAATAATGTTGTATTATCACTGCAGTAATAATGTTATAACTACAATAATAAACAAAAACAATAACAACACAGCTATCAAACATATTAGACCGCTGATGTGAGCCCTCAGTATCAACTTCCACCTCCAGTCCAGAAGGTCAGGTTCTCATTCAACACTAGGTCATTTTAAAGATATAAATGGTTACGGAAAATAGTGGTCTAGCTATCAAGGAGCTTATTAGTTGGGAAAACTTAGCTCCAAAAATAAACAATTTGGGAAGATTGGAGCTACATCAAACAGCAGTTCCTTGAGTTTCAGGACCAGCAAAGATCTTAAGGACAAGGTCAATCTCTAAGAAGAAGGGAATGTGATGACTGAACTAGCAGCATAAATAAATGTAGAGAGATAATAACAGGGAAAATCTGTTATGTTTATAGGAATATAAGAGTCAAGTGTGTGAGGCTGAGTGACCCAGGTGGTTTTGGGTCACGTGCAATGATTGAAGGGACAGCTTTGATCATTTCAGACTCGAGTACGTAAAGAGTAAAACCTTCTCTAGCGCTACCACCAAATTAGTGCAAGCCTACCGTTTAAAACCATACAAGAATCAATCTGTAAATTTACCTCCAAATAGCGAAGAAGAATTTACCTCGGCAGCGACAAGAGAGAAGTTTCCGGCATTGGAGCCAGTTTTGGGGCCGCCTTTACGCCAGTTGAGGAGCCGTCGGGCATCATCGGAGTCACGGGACATGGCAAGGGCATCAATAAGGCACGTGGCAAGCACGTGCTCTTTGAGTCCATAAGAGCCACGCTCTCGGTCGAGACCAGGAAGAATGAGCCGCATAGCAGCGAAATTGTCCTGAGGCTTCCTGCAGAAGGCGTCTAGAAACTTCCGGAACTTGGACCGCTTCTGCGCTGATGATTTGCTCTTCTGTATCCACTGGAATAGGCTAACCATTACGCTGAACTTTATGTCTTCTCCGCCAATACTACTACCACCACCATCTACGGCGGAAGTCGCCATTTTCTTGGGGGGTTTTGGGTGCCAATTTCGAACAGTTCGAATTGAAGCGTACTCGACAAATTTGCTGGGAATGAATTTCACTCGAAATTCATATTTTTTTAGGGAGTTTTATACCCATTGGCCTTTCTACCCACCAAACTAATTACCCTTCCATTGCAGTGGGTAATTATTTCTTTTGTTCTCATTTTCCTTTTTACTTCTTTGCTTTTTTTCTTTTCTTTCTTTTCTCCTTTTATTTTTTCTGATTTTTCTTTCTTTTTACTTTTTTCTTTTCATATATTTTTCCAGAATTATATTATTCTTTATTTTCTTTATTAATCATAATATGATTTTATACTCAATCTGGCTTGTTTCTTTTTATTTTTCTTTCGTTTTCTTTATTTTTTAATTTCGTGTTCCTTTTCTAATTTCATTTATTTATTTTTTTAATTTCTTTTTTTTCATATTACTATTTTATGTCTTCTAACACCTACTTCTTATACAATGAATATTATTTTCAGGGAACTCCATCAAAAATATCATTTAAGAAAACATTTGCAAGGTCCTAGTTGAAAAAATTAAAAATAAAGTCAAAATGACTTATTTATTACGGAATACTATTATATTATATTGTATACTATAACAGTATAGTGTTACTATAACCATGACTTTAACTTTGCATAATAGCACCTAGATAATTCCACAAATAGCAGTCGAAGGATACTATTATGGTATATTGTAAGCACGTGATTTTTGTTTCGCGCGACAATCGCTCCAAAAGAAATAAAAAAAATGTGACAAATGGTCCTGTTGTACAGGTTTTGGATTTTTGTGTGGCATATTCGTTAGTTATCTGTAATCTCGTCCGTGTTTATTTTATTCAATAAATAAATAAATAAATAATGTGCATCTTTCATTTTTATTT